TTCGGCTCATCCAATTGTCACCTCTTGCGAGAATGTCGGCCTCATCAGACTTGAATGTGTGGTCGGGTCTCGTTGAATGTTCAGATTTGATGAGGCCGAAATTCCCGCAAAAATTTAGTCAGAGCTTTTCAACTGCATCCTGTTGCTCCACGAGTTTGATAACTAGTAGAACATACATCAATTTTTAAATTTCACAGAATGACATGGCATTACAGCAAAGGTCATAGTTCAGTGTAAATATTGATCAGATAAAGGAAACTGCATTGAATCAACGTATAGGAAGGAAAAGGGTTTATGGAAGTTAACGAAAATCACATGGGGATTAAAACTAAGTGCAATTGGAGGTTGACCACATGATCAGGCTGCGGTCGGGTTTCGCCCGCTGTATGTAGGCAGCTTTCAAACAGCGCAGGGTACGATTTAATCGTGCCTGAACAACTACTCGAAACGCTGTTTTGACGTCGACAGAATGACCGCTGTCTGGCAGATGCATAGTAATAGAGGACCGTGGTACTCTATCTTCTTGCTTGAAAAGCCAGTTGGGCAAGTTCTCAGCGGCCCTGGTTGCCAGTTGTCTTTGCGTACGCCTTTGAAGTAAAAATGAAGAGTCGTTCTTAAATTGGCTTTAGTTCCTTTACAAGCCTTTTTGCTAATCTATGTTAAGGTGCAGAAGACTTGGAAAGAATTGGTCATAAAGATAAGTCTATCTTGAGTGTTTTGGGAAGCCCATATAGTCTAGGGCTATGCGTACCTCTAGGTTTTAAAAATAGAGCAATTGAAGTGTCAATTGCTGAAAACATATATTTGCAAAATACACTTTTCAAATATACAGATGTGAAAATATTTTTTTATTTGCTGTTATTTCCATTTCAAGATGAAGTGGACGTAGACACAATCTGCCTCGCGGACGCCAATACCACACTCGCCAAAACCGACAAATGCTACGTTGTTAGATGGGGACTCGCTGAAACCAACTCACCCTGTACAGTTAAGGGTATGCCATATCGGCATCTTCGCGGTGGCGCCCACGGACATTCTAGAAGATATCACGGCCTCCTTGACTGTCGGTTCACCCGATCTCGTCGCCAGCGAGAACCACTTAGTGCGCTGGAGACCAGGGTGATGCCAGTGCCACTGAAAAAATGCGTGCGATCGCGTTTACACCCGAACAAGGATCACCTTATTTGCGCTGGTGGCGCCGGTAGGGTAAGTGTGCATGCTATTTTGTCTGTTGCAACCAGAAGAAGAAATTCCGGCTACCTATAGCCTGGGCTGCTTCAAATGAGACATAAATGAAACGATATCACTGCATTTTTTCAACACAAGTTTGTGGGGCTTAGTGTTGCGTCTCACGTCACGTAGAGGCAGCTCACCGTTTGATCAAATTAACCTGACCCACGAGAGGAAGTACGGGTGCAGTAGCACACCGATGAAGTCTAACAGTGGAGCCCATTTTTACTGTTGAGTTGACAAAAAAACAGAATGCTTGAGAAAATTGGTTCTATCTTGTAGATTAGTTGCGTGTAGGCAATAGCAGATTTCAGGCAACATTGTAGAATTTCGGCTTCTGGGTCCCCTTGAGACAGCAGTGTGGGGGAATATCTCCTTCAACGAGGAAGAAGATTTGTCGAGCACCGGATCAATTTGTTTATTGTTCTGAGCCTTCGGGATCTTGCGAATGTCCCGCGTCAGCGATAAAAGCGTCCACGAAAAACAAACAACAGTTTTAGGGGGCAGGAGCCAATCACCCGTTATATGGGGAGAGGAGAGAGGGGAGTGAACTCATTAATCACCAGTGTCAGCCGTACGAATGTGCACGTGACCCGTCTCGTAGATGAGGGCCGCCTTCTTGTGGAGACCAAAGGAGTATGAGC